TCTTAAAAGTCATTGTCGTAGTGTATAGACTCCTAGACAAGATAATTTTAGATCGAGATAAGCTCTTTACATCTAAATTCTAGTAGACAGTTATAGCGCAGCTTAGAACAAACTATAAGCTGTCTATAGCTTTTCATCTATAGATAGATAGATAGATAGAACAAACTAACTAGACGTTAGAAGCATATCTATAAAGCTACGTTAATAAGGAATAGGACAACTAGGTTTAGTACCTACACTTAGTAGAATTTGCATATAACTTAGCGCTGTTAGAGGTAACGAAAGTCTTACTATTCTTTGCTAACAATAGATAGTAACTAGAGGCATATAAGACGCTAAGGCTAGATAAATTTTGTTCTAAGGAAGGAATACTTAAAGTTGAGAAAATACTTTCCTTCTAGAAACAACTTGTAACGGACATCTAGTTCTTAAATAAACGATCTACTACATATGTAAATAGGAAGCGTAGTATAGAACCTACCTTTAAGGAGGAGGATAAAGTATACTTACTCTAGAAATACATTAAAACGAAATGACTAAGCATAAAGTTGGACTTTAAGAAACTAGGACTATTTAAGATATTAGAGAAAGTTAGCTTAGTTAATTACAAGCTATAGCTACCTAAGAACTCTAAGCTCTACCTAGTGTTTTATGTCTTATTATTAGAACTAGTAAGAGGGGACACCCTAATTGCAACAGACACTAAACTTCAACCTAAGAATGAGATTATTAAATATAAGGTTAAAGCAATCCTAGACAAAAGGTTAGTAGGACGCTAAGAAGAGTTTTTAATAAAATAGAGAGGCTATAAACCTATAGATAACTTATAGGAGTTAAGGGGAAACCTTAGCTGCCTAGAGTTACTAGTAGAGTTCTACTATTAACACCCTAGTAGTTAAAGAACCTAGGAGAAAGGGCTAATAGGTAGTTATGCTTAGGGGTAGCGCTCCTAGGGTTAGTTATAGAAGGACTAGCGAGGTAACTATAGGCTTTAGCTTCTTACTACTTACGTTCTTCTACCTCCTCTAGTTTGTTAAAGGTCTTTAGACTATAGCGAAGCATCTTAGCACCTTAGGTCTTAAGAAGATCCTACTGTTACTTAAGGTGGTTAAGACGTGCTATAGCAGTTGCTACAGCTTCATAGGTCATGTGAGTTTTAAGGTAAAGACAATCTTCTTCTTTCTATAGTAACTGCTAGTTGCTAGTAGAAGGGCTAGAGACGTTATAGTTGTAAGAATTTAAATGAACACATTCATTACATCGTTTTAAAGATGTAGAAGCAAGGTAGCAGAGACCTCGTTTCTTATAGTAGGAATAGGAAGGCATTTCAACCCCTTTATAGGTTATATAGTTAGTAAGTAGTTTACGTTCTTTGATTTTTAAGTGTTTAGAGGAAGACATAGTTGTGGCCTTGCCTACCCTACAAATATAGGGGACCTACTACGCTTAAGTAGGTTAGTAGATTCTTAGTTAGTAATGGCCTATAGGACTAGGCCTTAAGGGAGGGGACGTAGTGTTATAGCTAAAACATGTAACCTATATGCTATAAGATAGAGTAATAAAGTTAAATAGCTTGTAGCTAATTAGTAGTAGGAAATGGACGTAGAGATTATAGGTAGCTTAGTTAATGAGGGCACCTTTAGGAAAAGGTACCTTTCTTAGAAGGTACCTAGCTAAAGAGAGGTGCCTATTAGGAAAGGCACCTATATAGAGTAAGGTGCCTCCTTAGAAAGGCACCTATAGGAATAAGTACCTATAATAAGTATAGCACCCTTATAGGACATACACGTAATTAGATTAGTAGGA